TAGCTTCTTGTTTCTACTAGCTTTCTTGTTTCTACTAGTAAGGCACCTGTTACTACTAGCGATGCACTTGTTACTAATAGCATTTTATCCTTTTTTAGTGTGACCACTTCGCTTTTGCGGACGAACCTGGGCTCTCCGGCCGAGGACGACTGTGGCTGTGGTCTTGATTGCTGGGCCTCTCGCTGAGGGCTGGCCTCGGCAATTGACCATCTTGATCATTCTTGATCGACGGATTTGCCCCCAAACAAATCTTGGGGGAAAACAACAGTTCTGCCAAAGAGATGTTCGTTGGGGATGTGTGCAACGTCCCCAGTGACTTCGTCACTCGGGTTCAAGTGATCCGCCGTCGCCAAGACTTGGACCGACAAGACTTGGCCGTTGTCATGAGCCAAACTACCCACTTGGAAGGGCTGGCTATGAAGAAATGCCAAAAATGGGTGACCCGCACTGAGTGCGGTTTTTCGCTCCCTCCGCTGGTCTGGTGTTGGATTATACACCTAACTAATTATATTATCCTCGCAATCCGACCAAACAAGGTTCACTGGCAACTGCTGGGCGCCCGATCTCTAAGATTGGTGGTGGGTGCGGTCGAGACAAATGCGGCTCCGCCCAAAAGGGCAGCACCTGATGCAAAACGGCAGAATCCTCCAACTGTTTGGGGTTGTGCTGTTACACGATCGCACTGTTGACGGTTCCTTGTTGGAATCCAGATTTTCCTCTGCAATATCTTTGAGGCCGCATGGACACATGCACCTGCAGCAGCAGAAGCAAAGGTTGCTCGGGATCCAGAGGCCATCGTCAACCTCAATCAACCATCAAAGCTGCGGGTAGGCACAAAATGCAGCTGTTTGATCATAAGGTACATTTGCGAACACAAGAAAGCTGCAAACTGGACCGACCAAAAACTATTCTTGCAACAAACACTTTAACAATATCAGCTTCCGGATGCAACACGCCTTCAACAATCCCGGCAAGTGTTGCTAGGACCGTTAGGAGCAGAATAGACACGTCCTGCTTATGACTATGAAACAACCTCCACAAGCTCAATGGAACCATGAGACAACCAGCGCAACAATACTCATCCAAAGCACTGGAAGAAGAACGGAAAATATGCTGCCGCTAGCTAGCGTTGCTAGCTAAAAATCGCTATAAATCTGAGCCAAAAACTGCCAACCCTTCACGAGCATTCTTGACAACCCCTTCGTGCAAAAGCACAAGTCCATGTCAGAATTGTGTGTTCAGCTTGTGTTTCACGAAGTCTTGCTGGTGAACTTGGGGTGAGGTTGGGTCCGGCCGGACAAAGGAACTACGTTCTTGGCGGAGAAATGTGCAACGACTGCACTCTTTTGCGGGAGAGTAAAGAAGCCAAGCGGCCCAACCTTTTTTCTGCTGCGCATATGTTCAGCAAACGAAGCCAACAGGCGCCACATCTCTCTAAACGCAACGAAAACTGATTGAGGTAGGCTCTCAGAAGAGGCCGAACATTTTTGAGTCTCCTTTTTTGCTCCTCAGATCAACGATGGCTCGATGCTGATCTGTGGGGTACCGACCTAGACAATGCCGTGGGTATTCTGCCCAAGATAACATTGAAAGCATGGGCCATGGGCCTTGGAAGAGGAAACACAAAAGACCTGGGTGCACCGGACCCTGGACTGAACACCGGACCCTCTCGGTGGTTCCTGTCGGCCTGTCAGAAATGAAACAGAAATGAAGACATTGCAATTCATGTAAAACAGTTAAAACACAAATAACCTGTGCGATCCGAAAAAGGGGAAACTAGTAGTCGGTGTATACTTTGATGCCGGACAACATGGATTCCAGCCAAACAAATCAACTGCTCAACTGCTCAGGACTGACAATCCGTTCTGTGTGTTTGAGAGGTCTCCACTGAGTCCTCATCATCGATCCGCATGAGTAACTGACCATATTTGCTGATTGAAATGCACTGCAGGACCCCATACTAGTTCACTAGGATGCTGTAGAATGATTCTAAATTGGATGTCCATTCCTTGAAGTTTCTTGCAGCCCAGCGTCACAATTGTCATGAGTTTTTCCGCAGTTCCAGCACCAAAGGCACGTTGGTATGCTGGGCGCTCTAACAGTTGCAGCATGTAACGCCTTGCTGGGCTCAAGTTGAGCCCTACCACACCATGCATACTGTGCCTTTGATTAGCCAAGGAAAATCTACCTTTGGGGGGTGGATGGAGACAAAAATCCCTTCCTGTCAACGTTCCACTCTTGTCCGACCAAATTATTGTTTAAAGTTTAAAGCACGGATCCACTCGTATCATACTGAGTGACATCGGCCTTCCATGTGTGCCTTGTCAAGCTGTTGCATCATACATAATCGAGCATCTTCAAACATGCTTAATTATAGTGGTGCTTGGCAATATTCTGCTTCATACCGCCCACTTTGTGCAGTTGTGGCTCTGAATATGATGCCATTTTGCTACGCTAACATCTGGGAAGAAAAGTGGCACCTGCAAATGCAAAAAGTCGTTGCGCTTGCCCCAGGAGCATTTGCCAAACTCTTCCCTTTGACGCAAGAATAATCTATTTTGTAACTCTGTCCCAACTGTCGACTGTCAACTGCCATTCAGTTGTTTCTGCCGGGATTGTGCTGAGCAGTGCTAACCTGAGGTCGGTACGTAGAGCAGGTATGAACCGACTGCCACATCTGCCACAGAGAAGGATTCCTCTTCCAGCAACACAGCAAGAAAATGAAACAATTCCCAATTCCCTTCTAGTATTTTCTGGCACGTCTATCCTGGCAACCCGGACAAACTCAACATATATACATATATACACATATACACTAAAAAACATATATATATATATACACACTATACACATGTGTTGTACAACATGTGTTTCGCATCATGAGCGTTGAACTGTCACTTTTGTAGTCAGTAGTCACCCCTGCCTCTCCAGAGCCAAGCAAGAACTCACTTTTGTCCAACAAGTTGTCTAAAACTTGCAGGGCTTGTGGCTCACCACGTAAGCCAGTGTCGAGGACTCTGCCATTGCCATCCTCCTCCAAATTGCTGGGATATTCGTGTGCAAATTCATGAGAAGCAGTTCATAGCAGCTGCTTGAAATGCTGCCTGATTTCCGTCCCAACAACTGGAACTGAACAATCCTTTCTTTCTGACTCTCTGACATGGTAAATGAAAGTCTCATTCTTGGTAATATTCTGCGGGGTTAATGACAAACCGCCGCAAACATATTCTGGAGTTGTCATGGTCTTCCTGCCACACGGCAATCTGAAAATAACGAGCGATCAAAGAAATCAAAGGGATGCATATTCACATCTTGGCAAGAGTTTGTCCTTGAAACAGATTGGATCCAAAGTTGCATTGGCCCAAACGATCCATTTGTTCACCTCAGCGCCTGCACAGGCGCCGAAACAAGCCGTTTGTTTTCGCCAAAAAAGTCGTGCCTGCAGGTCCAAACGTTCCCAAAGCAGCAAGTGGTCCTGTTCCTTTTTCGGGCCCAAATGATGAATCTTCGCTGCCAGGGCACGCTTCTCTGGAGTGTCTAAGCCACCATATTTGTCAGCAAGGAACATCAGAATGGCACCGGACTCAAAGACCTCCAATCTTGGAGATGTTGGATTCCAGCAGAATGTAAGGAGTCTAAGCCGTCTAAGCACACCTTTGCGGTAAACTTTACGGAAACAAACAACATGATTGGGACAATGAGTATCATTGAAATCTGAAAGCAAAGAATCCTCCAGCATCGTTCAGAACCACCCATGTCCGCGACAATCATCCTGTACTGGGCACCTGCAAATCTCCATCCGCCAATGCAGGGATCTTTCCAAACGGACTGGGATACTGCATTGAGTATCCTTGGTGTGAGTTTCAACGGAGGAATCTTCATCCTTCCCCAAACGAGGCACCACAAAACATGTATCTGCCGCCCTTGGTTCACTTGCACTGCCCACACCATCTCACAGGAAAGAAATGCAGGGCAAGTCTCGATCCACACGAGCTGCATCCACCATTTCAAAGTCCTGACCTCGGGCCCAACTCCATGGGAGGACGCATCAAAAATGGCTCAAATCCAGGGCGACTCTGCATTCAACAATTTCGTTCTGGTTGCTGTCCATGCGACCAATCTCATGGAGGTACCAATTCACCAAGGGAGATCGGCTGCCGGGGGATCCAAAAAGTACTGGTCCGGCAGCTCGAGCCACGCGTCTCGAACGAACGTGTCTCGCACCGAACGTGGGCACCTGAGCACGTCAAAACGACATACCACTGTTTTATTGCCTCTTTGATAAAAACCCAAGGTCCTGCCTCCTTACTTAATTGTACAAGTAGGCGCCTACTTAATTAAGTAAGGGAGGGTTAAGCTACTAGGAGAAGTTCGCTCCTAGCTAGAACGCCGGATGAGGGCAGGGGGGAGTTTCCTTGAAGAAGCGCGAGGCAGGGGGAGTTTCCTTGAAGAAGCCCTCCCACTGATGAGTTGGTTCTTCTTTATGGAGATCCAATTCACGTGGAAAGATTACATCCCATCCTTAACCCACTTCCCGATAGCCAGGCGACCAGCAATAAAACTGCTCCCAAGCCGAACCAGGTCATATCTGGGCTGCCTGCCAATGCGGCGTTGAAACACGGCCCAAATAAAAGTTGTGGACAACTACAATCAAAATACTCTGCTAAAGCAAATTAGGTCCCTGTCGCTCTCTTTGCAATGAGAAGCTAGTTGTGAATCGTTTTCAACATAGTACGAATCACAACGAGATGTCAAACAGGCACAAAAGTGAATCTATGGTTTCCCTTCTGCCTGACTGCAGCGGCTCTGTGCCATGGCCAGCTGCACTGTGACGGCAAAACAGCCGCAACTGGTGAGGCGCCAAGAAGGCACTTGGCCTGCCGCTTGGTTCGAATCTCTGGGTTTAACCTACCCAAGAACCATTTGTCATGTGAGGAACAACTCCGTCATCACGATGGAGACAGGTCACCCGTCAGCTGCTCAACATTATCACGAAAAATATTGCATTCTTAATTAATTCTAATGTGTTACTACTAGCTTCTTGTTACTACTAGTAAGGCACTTGTTACTACTAGCGTGGCACTTGTTACTCACCGACCTGCACAAAACTGCAAAGACTCCAATCACCAGAAGCAGCAAGCGCTTCATGGCAGGCAGCGATGCACTTCCCAAGCGGCAAACGGGTCTGCGTGCGAGTACCAAGGTTTCATTCATGAGATTGAATGGTTGAACAGTTCGCAACTCGGCATGTGTGCTGAGGTCCTCTGCATGACATCTTTATCTTTTGTGCACTTGTTCACGAAATCAATCTTGGGATGTTATTTTTGCCGTAAACATGAGGGTGGTGTACTGGGATAGTGTTTGTTGCGCAAGGTGTAGCACATCACCGGCACTGTCTTTGCGGAGTGCATTGTTTGAGTTGCTCAAGTTAGAAGCAGCTGTAATTGCACAGACAAAAAATGCAGCCAATGTGGTAATATGATGCAACATACAATGACAAAAAGAACGAAAATGAAAAATGAGTGCTTCATTTTGGGAAGCCTCTAACCTCGACCCCCAAGGCAAACAAAAACAACACGGTTTTATTGATAAACGGTTGTTTCAGCACACCTTTTCCACTGCTGCCTCCAAAACTTCCAAGCAACACTCGTCAAAGGCAACCAAGCAATACCACCCTTTGGGGCAACAACCACATTTGGGACGATTATGAAGGGCTAAAAACAAACACACCTCCCACACGAAGGGGACGGTACAGTTTTCTTCGCTGTGATGGACCATCTCCACAATGTCAACATTGATAAAGAAAAACATGAAACCAGTTTAAATCCGCCCGCACCTAAAGTGCTGAAGGGCGTGATTGTGTTGGGTCACGATCACCTAATTTTAGCTAAGGGGGGCGACTTTTTCGTTTGGGGTTGATAAAAAAAAACCTGCAACAGAGGTGTGTTTGGGAGACAAGTGGGTGTAGGAAAAACGTTGAAAAACACCGGTTTTCACATTTCATGTATGTTTTACCATATCTGTCATGATGGCCTCATTTGCATATGCATCACCACCTCCATGCAAACCAAACAAACGTCTCCTCTCAACAGCCTACGTCTATAAATGACTTTCACTATTGCATCATCAGCTGGTTGCAACTGTGTAGCTGACTACTGCATCATATGCATCGGCTGGTTGCAATTGGTTGTTGTTGTTGTCGTTCCTAATCACGCTAATTTTGAATCACTTCGATTCCCTGGCAATGGAATTTTGCAAGGTCGACCAGTTTATCAGACAGCGCCTGCAAAATAACATAAATTAAATATCTATATCTATATATAGCAATTCGGACCCCCCGAACAATGCACAATGAAGGGTGTCAACTTGAGGCGACGGAGGTGGATGAAAGGTAGAGGTTGGAAGATTCTGAGCAGGAGCAAGCAGCCAGCAGCAGCAGCAGCAAACCAGCAAAGCAGCAGCAGCAGCAGCAACGCAAAAAGGTAGCAACAGCACCAGCAGCAGCAAACGAGCAGCAGCAGCGGTGGCAACAAGCAGCGCGGCAGCCAGCAAGGAGCAAGCAGTACAGCAAGCAACAAGCAGTACAGCAAGCAGCAACCAGCAGCAAGCATCAGCCAGCAATGGACCACTCCCAAATTCTACTCCCAAATTCTCAGCGGGGGAGGGAGGGTGGAGTCGCTTGGGGGGCCCCCCAACATTTAAACCCCAACTTAAAACCATCAGGAACAGGACCACTCCACCACCCCCAATATCATATTGCTAAAGCAAAGACGGCCCGGGAACGTGTAAACACAAAGCGCACCAGTATTTAGGAGTACTGTATGCGTGGAAAACAACTTTGAGAGACTTGCCGTGACAGGCCTCGCGCACCCTCCCCACAACATGCGCTATACGACATTTATCAATAAAACCACAAAGCAGCCACTTCTGCTTGGCGGAACTGCTGCGGGCCGCCGGCGCTAACTGCACTAAAAATCTCCCGTTTCCACAACAGTTACACACTTTGGCATTCTCCACCTTTGTTTTTGACAGTTACAAATTGGTTGCAACTTCCACCTTCATTTTCGACACCTGTTACACACTTTGGCAAGTCATGCACTTTGACTCATCAACCTCCAGCTCCGTTCTCGATGACAGTTTAAACACACTTTGGAACCTCCTCCACCTTACTTCGGCAACTTTGGTGACTTCCAGTTTCCGTCGCCATCTCTGACATAATGGTTGCACACTTTGGCAAACTGCAATTTCGAGGTCGTGTCATACACTTTGGCAACGAAAATTTGCATTCACCTCGTTCGAGCGCTCGCAACCTTTTTTTCCAGCCAAACCTCGCGCCGAATTGGTCCAGACGGGCTTATTGCAAGGCGTTGGCACAGCCAAAGAACGGTAATTAAAAATCTCTGTTCAATGCGGCTGCATATATTCTCGCATCATCGGTGTTTTCATCGAAATTATGATGTCTTAAAACGTTTTCGTACGCAAAGTTCTTTGCGATATGCAGCCAGTTTGGCCTCGGTTCCCCAACTCGTTTGGCGCCGTAATCAACTCTGGATGCAGTGCTATCAACGAACGATACTTGTCTCATGGGGTCATCATTACTGCTTCTAATTATATGCCCAAGTAATTTACATCGTCTGTTCATATGGTAATCACTGAAACGTACAATTTGTCTGTTATCGCCACGAGTTGGGAAGGCAATGGCAGTTGCACCCTCAGGCCCTCAAGAATCTTTTGATTCGCACATGACCGATCTATGAAAGCAGGCGGTCTTTTGAGAATCTTTCTCAAGCATCTTAATTGGCAAGCATCTAGTGATTTGCTTAGCGCTCGCAATCTGCGAGGGGGTTTCGCCGCGCTCAGCTAAAATTTGCGTTTCGCCTCACGTTTGGGCACTTGACGCGCGCGATCTCCGCACATGGCTCAGAACCACTAGCTACTCCCTCATTCACACTCATGCCAAAGTTTTGTTTCGAAGTTTCCACTTCTTTGAGCGTCGAATCCCCGGACATTCCATCTAGCTATACATCATTTACCGAACCAGTATCACCCTCACCCTTAGGTGGATCCGAACCCCCAGAAACACGCTCACCCAAAAACTCCCCATCCGACTCTGACCCAAAGATGTCCCGCATACAACCGCTCCTCGTCCACGTCAACCCTGTCCTGTCCCTCCACAGGAGATGAGTCCCCAACATCAGACCCAGAAACCTGAATCCCCAACCAAACCACTGTTCATACCGCCTACAAGTCCTGGAATGAGACAACCCCCTGCCAAGTCCCACGACGATTGTCGATAGATTCGCACGCCGAACAATCCTTAGAAGTCCCAAACCGATCAAAGAATAAGTGGGGTGGTCCCGACACCGGACACTTGATGCGACTTCGGCAACACCGAAAAAACACGGTGGGCGGCCAGCACTCTCCGTCAACTCACTCTCCACAGCCGACTGACCCGACACCGATACAGGTGTAAACCCCAGAACTCAACTCTTTTTGTTTGCACGAGTCGAGGCGCTATGTGCGCAGGTTCTGCACAAGTCACCTTGGTCGAGTTAAGAAGGAGTTACTCTAAAGTGATCGGAAACACCAACTCCTGGACCACAAAAACACCAACTCCCGCCCCAACAAGAAGAGCAAAGACCAAACTCCCTTGGGGTGAAAACTGGGATTGGCAGGAAAGCGGCATCGACAAACCGAGGCATATTCGGCCGAAGACGACAAACCAAGTCCGGCACTTCGGCATGAACTCTCGATCCAAACAAAGCAAACTCCTGCTTTGGAAGCTTGCCTCCAGACACCATCTCTCGTGGAGTTCTCTCGCCACCGAGCCTTCCCATTTTTTTGCACGAGTCGAGGCGCTATGTGCAGGTTCTGCACAAGTCACCTTGGTGAAGTCAAGAAGGAGACCACTGTGAGCCTTCCCATGGCATTTATAGCTCACGCAGACAATTCAACAAAATCTGCAAGACGTCTTTCCGAAAGACTAGAACACATCCGAGACTTTGAAACTCACACTGCAACACTGCCAGCTGTTCTCGAAGAAGACGATCAGCTCTCTCAACTCCTCCGACCGCTTCATGCGCCTGAGGCGCTGCCGAAGGCAGCTGTGCGTGCAACTGTTTCAGGAAGAGTGAACTGGGACCTTCGGCTCAAGGGGGCTTAAGCCACCCCTCAAGCCCCTACGCAGGTCCCCCCCTTACCCCCCACCAAAGGTACCGAAGCTCCTTAAGCCCCCCCTTCGCCCCCCCCCCCCCCCCCCCCAACCCCCCCCCCCCTTAAGCCCCCCCTCAAGCCCCCCTAAAGCCCCCCTTAAGCTCACATGAGATGACATTGTTGCTTTTCGTGGCAGGCGCAGGTTTTTTTTGCACGAGTCGAGGCGCTATGTGTGCAGGTTCTGCACAAGTCACCTTGGTCGAGTTAGGAAGGAGTTACCATACAGGTTGCACACCAACAAGGAGAAAAACAAAACACCCAAACACCAAACAACCCAACAAAAAACAACCCCAAAAACACAAAACACCGGCAGGGGGGAGCAACCTGTTGCGCAACTCGTGTGGCCGTGAAAGCCGTATGAGAAAAGGTGAGA